CTCTCTCTCTCTCTCCCCCCATGGTGTCTGTGCTGGGGCTCGCTCCCCCACTGGAGCTCTCTACTCTAACCCCATTCCCTACTCTCTCTCTCTCCCCCCATCGTGTCTGCGCTGGGGCTCGCTCCCCCACTGGAGCTCTCCACTCTAACCCCATTCCCCCGGTGATGGGTGTATATGTGGAGCCTGGCATGTGAGCCGCAAAATACACAGTCACTGCACTTTTTCAGTAGAATTCTGTGAAGCCCTTCGAGACGTCTCGAAGACGCGATAAGGCGCTGTACCAAATGCGAGGATTCTCGTTCTTACTGATATTGGCTCCCGGAGAATGAAGAGGTTAAGATCTGAAACGCCTGGTGTCTGTCTCCCTCAGGTTACGCAATCCCCGGTATATTAATGGAAGTGACAGGAACACACTCCCGACTGCACAGCGCTGTGCCATCTGCTGAAGGCAGCAATGGACAGGTGTCTCTATGATGTAGGCTGGGAATCAAAGAGCAGGCAACGAGGCAGTGTCCCCGAGCCGTGGCTACACTGCGCCACACCGACTATTCCACGGGACTCAATAGCAGTGATAATAATATTAATAATAACTCTTGCATTTGACTCAGCGCCTTATCACGTCACTGAGACGCCTCAAAGCGCTTCACGGGATACACTATCAAGTGAATGGACTGTACATTTTGTGGGCAAAATGCGGGCGGTCAATTGCGCACAGCAGCGTCCCACAAACAGTCGTGGATTGAGTGATGACATTTTTTTGGGGGGGGAGTGGGAGAAGAGAAATGAGTTTCTCGCGCTCTCTCTCTCTCTCTCGCTCTCCCTCTCTCTCCCGGTGTCCTGGTTCACAATCCCCCAAATAAAATTGCTCATTCGCCCCCTGGCTGTTTGTGGGACCACAAAATGGCCATTATAGAAGACAGTCAGTACGCAGAGCAACAGGATATGTACAGCAAGGAAACAGGCCATTCAGCCCCAACTAATCCTTGCCTGTGTTTATACTCTACACGAGTCTCTACCCACTCCTTCATCTCTCCCGTATCCTCCCATTCCCTCCTTCCCTCCCTCCCTCTCTCGCAACGTGCTATGGCTTGTAGGTGCTATCGTGTGAGGTCTTTGGGGGGGAAACAAATGCGACGTTTTCTCAAAACAGATTTCATGTGATAATTCAAAACTGTTAAGGAACAACAACAGTATTGCAGAACAGTTAATTATTAATTAACTGTTTGTGGGACCTCACTCTGCGCAAAATGGCTGTTAATTGTTAACAGTTTGAGATCTGAACGACGTTTGTCTCACCCACTCCCCACATCACCAACAACAAGATTACATTTGTACACAGTAGCGCCTTTCACGTCAGGAGGACATCCCAAGGCATTGGACAGTGAAGGGTTTGCACCTGAGTTGGGGGCTGCGATCTTGTCATAATTGGTAACCGATCGATAATAATAACAACAGTAATAATCCTTGCCTTTGACACAGCGCCTTATCACACCTTCGAAACGTCTCGAAGCGCTTCACAGGATACACCGTAAAGCGAATTGACTGAATATTGTGGGCGAAACGCGGCGGCCAATTGTGCCCAACGGCGTCCCCACAAACAGCCGGGGATTGAGTGACCAAATCATGATTATTATTTTTTTAAATGAAACAATTTTTTGAGGGATTATTTCCCCCCTCCCCCGGAAAGCGATCCGCCAATCGACTAACAACCGGGTTCCTAATTAATGCTCGGTAAACAGAGATGTGTGCGTGCGTGTGTGGAGTAAGGAAACTTGCCAAAGGTTTCACCCTGACCCGGTCCTCTCGCTTGCGAGGCGAGGGCTCTAACCGCCGAGCTACAGGAGTCCGCAGAATGTGCTATAAAATGTCCTATGTTTCCCCTTCCCCCACCTTCCCATCTGGTGGCTCTTCCTCAGGGTTAGTGAAGCGTGAACACAGTGGGAGTGTGACAGCCTCCCCCCCCCCTCCCCTCCTCTCCTCTCCTCTCCGCTAATTATAGCCTCGCTGATCTGGATGCTTGCCCACAATCTCAGCCCAGTCACTCGCCTGGCGGCCACCACACCACACACCACCAGTGCCTGACAGCCACCTCCCCGTCCCAGTCTTCCACACCTTCATTCCTCCTCTCTCTCGCTCTCTCTCTCTCTCTCTCTTTCTCCCCCTTCTCTCTCTTCCCCCATCTCTCCCTCCCTCCCTCTCTCTCTCTCTCCTTCTGTCACTCACTCCTTCTCTCACTCACTCCTCGCCCCCTCTCTCTCTCCCCCTCCCCTTTCTCGTGCTACCCCATCTCTCTCTCTCTCTCCCTCCTTCCTCGCTCTCACTCTCCCTCTTTCCCCCTTCTCTCTCTCTCTCTCTCTCTCTCGCTCTCTCTCATCCTCACACTTCCTGCACCCTCTCCCCCTGAGCTCTCACACGTTCTCTCTCTCTCTCTCCCCACTCTCTGAACAACACTGCAGTCACTGCAGCTCAGGCTAAGTGTCAGCTTAGCGCGTGATTCCAAGTCCCGATATGGGGTCTTGAACCCACAAACTTCTGACTCAGAGGCGAGAGAGAGAGAGAGAGAGAGAGAGGGAGAGCGCTACCACTGAGCCAGGCTGACACACTGTTAGTTTCTCTCGTTCTCCATCGCTGGCTCCTGTATTTAAACAATAATCCTTGCATTTTCAATCCTTGTAAGTTCACTTACAGAATGTGCTCTTGATGCAGCGCCTTCATCACAGCGCCTTATCGAGACGTCTCAAAGCGCTTCACACTGTAAGGCGATGGGATTGTGTGTGGTTTGTGGTGCAAGAGAGAGAGAGGAGAGAGAGAGAGAGAGAGAGAGCGAGAGAGCTATTTATAGTGCCGACTTAGCTGTTCATATTCAGGGCCAGTTTGAAACATTCATGATTATTTGCTCTCCTTTTTCTCTGAATTTTAATTGGATTTTCTCATCCTGTTCAGGAACTGCCTCGCCTTCACATCTCTCTCTCTCTCTCTCTCTCGTTCTCCAGCTGCTTCACCTGAAATAGCTCATCATCAGATGAATCTGTTAACGTTCTCTTTGATGCCAACCTCACCCATTTGCTTGATTTCCCTGTGAAGCGCTTTGAGACGTCCTCCTGTCACGAAAGGCGCTGTATCAAACGATACGATGTGCCGGGTGGCAATCTGAGCCGGGCGAGGCTAAGGATATAAGGATTATTAATTATTATTTATAGAATTATATTAATGTCTAAGTGCTTTCTCTAGCTCAGAGGAGGAGCGGGTGGGGGGGGGGGGGGGGGCGGGGAATGGCATATGCCGCATCGTGAAGCCAATTCTGGACTTCGAGGAAATGATTTGAGTCTCAAAATAGAAGCTGTGAGGATTTACACAGATAAAGGCCAGATCTTTCTTCAATCCCTCCATCACTGGCCGCAACCACCCTCCCTGGGTGGGTCCACTTGTTAATTGCCCGCTGATCACACAGAAATTGCGAGTTACCTCGACCGTATTTTACTTCAGCCTTCAACCCCCCCCCCGGGTATGCCATCAACATATTACATCAACAAATAATAGAATTACATGCCTTTTTATTAATTTTGTGGACCGATGCAGCAGCCGATTTGCCCACAGCAGTGTCGGGCAAACAGTCAATGAAGTGAGTGACCAATTTTTATCTGAGGGGGATAAGCACTGCATTAAACTGTCACTCTACACACGGGGGCTCAAATCTATATCCTTCAGACCCAGAGGCTTAGGCCACCCTCCTACCACCCAACCTCCTTGCCCTCCACCCCCTCCTAGTCCCAACCCCCAGTTCGGGCCCAAATCCATTACTGTCTTCGCAACGTGAAAGGCTCAAAGGCTCTGTGTAAAGGTAATGTGTTGTTGAGATGAGAACAGGAGCGACTGAGCCCAGTTTACACCTTACCAGCTCAGCTCTGTATATTTAGCTCCCAGCTATTTATAGTTAAATGACTTCACCTGTCAGCTATTAATAGTTAACCAAACGAGTTGTCACGTTTAACCCGAATAGCGTAATCAACGCTTACTCTGTCCTTAGGAATGAGGTGTTAAACCCAGGTCCCCTCCTGTAGGAGAACACTTCACACTGAATCCTGTGAAGCGCTTTGAGACGTCTCGAAGACGTGATAAGGTACCTTATCAAGTGCACGTTTTGTAGGTGGACGCAGCAGCCAATTTACGCGCAGCACCATCCCCGCAAACAGCGATTGAATGAGCGACCAATTTTATTTAGGGGATTGTTGGCCCGAACACCGGGGAGGGAGAGAGAGAGAAACTCCCTTCTCTTTTTGAATAGTGCCTACAATTTGATCATTCAATCCACGGCTTGTGGGACGTTGCTGTGCGAAAATTGGCTGTTTCTTTTGCCCAGAAAATGCACAGTCACTCCACTTTAATAATAATAATAATAATCCTCGCATTTGATATAGCGCTTTTCATGTCGGGAGGACGTCCCAAAGCGCTTCACAGAACACACTGTAAAGTGAATTGACTGTATATTTGTGGGTGAACGCAGCAGCCAATTGCTCACAGCAATGTCCCACAAACAGTCGTAGATTGAAGATGACCAATTTATTATTGTTTTTGGTTTGGAGGGATTATTATTTACTTTACAGTAAATCCTGTGAAGCGCTTTGAGACATCTCAACCGTGTGATATAGAGAGCCACATGAAACGCAAAGGTTAATTACCATCTGTTATAATTAACTCATCACAAGCTGCTATTTTCCGCCCAGGTTTGGGGTAAGTATTGAACGCTGTTTGTCTGTGAAGTGTTGATGTCCTGGTTTGATTTAGCAACGGACACTAGTCCTTGGCTAAACCAGGTGGGGAATCCAGAACGTGGTGTTGGGGGGGGGGGGCATCATCTTAACCTTAGTGCCAGGACATTTAGGAGTGAAATCAGTTTTCACCCAAAGGCTCAGTGGGTATCTGGAACCCTCTCCCTCCCCCAAAATATTTGCCTTGATTTATTGGTGGCGTTTAAACTGAGGACTGTTTGTGTGTTGCAGGTGAAGGAATGGCTCTGTTTGAACTGTCAAACTCAGCGGGCGCTCTCCGGGCAGCTCGGGGAGCTCGGCAAGATGCCCCCTCCCCTCCCAGCCTCGTCCAAGGTGCCGGCCAAGCAGAGCGGCCCCCCGCAGCCCGCGGCCCCCAAACAGCAGCAGAGACAGGGAGGGTCCGTCCCAGCTTCATCGGCGGCCAAACCACCAGCCCAGCAACCGCAGCCGGCTCAGCCGAAAGGCAGCCCGGCACAGACCGGCACCGCGGGACAGGGCCTCACAAAGGACACTGGACAACAGAAACTTACCGCAGCTCAGGACACCCCGAAAGATACTCCGCAGAGCACCCCGAAGGACACCGAGCCACTGGTCAGCGCAGCACAGGGCGCCCCAAAGGACGTGGAGAGGAAGGAGGTTGTGCCGGGGGCAGTCGGGCAAAGGCACAGAGAACGCCGGTCCACCCACAGAGACCCCCCTCGAAGCCCCCAAAGCGGGGAAGGGAAACGAAGAGAAGGTCACAACCGTGAGTATCCACCACAGCGCTTTCCCTCTTTAATCCATTGCTACGTTATTTCTCTCCCCCTCCTCCCCCTCCCCCTCCCCCCCCTCCTCCTCCCGGGCCCTCCTGCTCCCCCCGAATTGTTATTGGTAATTTATTAGGGGCTTCGAAACGTCTCGAAGAGCTTCATCACAGAAATAAACTGTAAATGTTTCGTGGGTGCAACGCGGCAGCCATGGTGGGGTGGGAACGAGCTTCAGGGACTCCGAGCTCACAGTCCAGGCTGACACTACCGTGCGGTGGTGGGGTGGGGGGGGGGGGGCGTGGGGGGGCGAGAGCAACAACAACGACGACAACGTTACATTTATAGAGCTCTTTCGCGTCGGGAGGACGTTCCCGAGGCACTGGACGGTCAGTGCATTGTCGTAGGCGCCGTCCTTCAGGTCAGGCGCGACGTGGGATTAGTCACCGGTGTAGTTATTGGGTTAGTTACTAAATTAGCCTAAACCGGGGTGAGACGGGTCAGGGGTCAGGTTTTGGGGGGTGTCAGTGGGCGGGGTCTGCAGGCTCTCAGCCAATCTGCTTTCCATCAGCAGGTGGGGGTGGAGCCGAGGGGCGTGGTCTTGGGGGCACAGCAGCAGCAGCAACAACAACAACAACAACAACAGCAGCAGCAGCAGCGAAGCCCCCAGGGTCTGAGTGACACGGGCTACTCATCTGACGGGATCTCCAGCTCCCTGGGTGAGACCACCAGTATGGTGCCGGGCGAGGAGAGTGGACTGTTGAGGGAGCCGGCCAGGCTGGAGTCGGTATCTCAGGAGAGCAGCCCCTCCAGCCCATCAGACCTGGCCAAGCTTGAGAGCACGGTCCTCTCCATCTTGGAGGCACAGGCCGGGGTGCGGGGCAGCGAGAGACCCGGCCAGGGGCTGTACGGAGAGCAGGAGAGAGACCGTCACAGGCCCAGGACACTGTCCATCACCCCAGAGTCCTACAGCTCGGACGAGGAGGACCTGGAGGACATCCAAGAGGAGGATGAGGAGACCCTGGAGGAAGATGGATCTCCGAGGAAGGAGCGTAGGGAAGGCAGTGGTCTCCTGGACGAGGCCGGGGACCGGAGACAGAGATACGACTCTCTGGAGGACAGCAGCGAGAGCGAGAACTCGCCCAGACCTCAGCGCCGGGGGGCGGGGGCAAGGAGGGTCAGCATGGGCTCCTCCAGCAGCAGCCCAGCCTCGGCCGATGAGGAGGGGGACGTGGAGGACTTCATCCGCAAGCAGATCATCGAGATGAGCGCTGAGGAAGAGGAGGACGATGAAGAGGCCTCGGATGAAGAGGACTACATCCGCAGGCAGCTGAGGGAGATCGGAGGGAAGGAGGGGAGCAAAGCGCAGGTGGTCAAGCATCGACGGCTGGTCAGGAAAAGCCCGGCCGGGCACGAGGAAGAGTCTGGAAGGAGGCATTCCTGGCATGACGATGACGAGGAGGATCTGGGAGACTACGACAAGAGCCCCGGGGGAGTCAAGTACCGGGAGACCAAAAGCCAAGAGAACGAGGAGATGTCCACCCAGGCCGGCGGGGGTCTGAGACGTTTCAAGACCATCGATCTCAACAGCTCCATATCCCAGAGGAAGCCAGAGGAGGATGAACCTGAGCTGGAGATGGAGAGCTTGACGGACTCTCCCGAGGACAGGTCCAAGGGCGATGCTTCGTCCAGCCTCCACGCCACGTCTAGTTTCACCCCGGGCACCTCGCCCACCTCTGTGTCCTCCCTGGACGAGGATAGCGACAGCAGCCCCAGCCACAAGAGGGCGGCAGGCGACAGCAAACAGCAACAACAACGCAAAGCTAGACACCGCTCACATGGTCCTCTCTTGCCGACCATCGAGGACTCCTCGGAGGAAGAGGAGATGAGGGAGGAAGAAGAACTTCTGAGGGAACAGGAGAAGCAGAGGGAGCGGGAGATGGAGCAACAACAACAACAGCAACAGCAGAGGAAAGGCTCGAGCAAGAAGTCCAAGAGAGACAAGGATGAGTTGAGGGCTCAGAGGAGGAGGGAACGCCCCAAGACCCCGCCCAGTAACCTGTCGCCCATTGAGGACGCCTCTCCCACCGAGGAGCTGAGGCAAGCGGCCGAGATGGAGGAACTCCACCGATCCTCCTGCTCCGAGTACTCGCCCAGCTTGGAGTCAGAGCCCGAGGGCTTCCAGATCAGCCCTGAGAAGATCCTGGAGGTGAGGAAGGTCTACCAGTTGCCCACTTGCGTCTCACTCCACTCGCCCACAGAGGAGAAGCCTCACAAGTTGCCGGGGCTGGCAGAGAGGTTCCTGAGGAGCGCCGAGGAGGCTTATGAGCAGATCGTGCAGAAGCCGTCGGACAGGGACGCCAAGAAGGTGGAGGTGGTGGTGGCAGCAGAGAAGGAGCCGCTGTACGGTGGGATGCTCATCGAGGATTATATCTACGAGTCTCTGATGGAGGACGGCTATGCCGCCGGCTCCGGGCCAGACCCTGACGACGGGATAAGCCGGAACGCCGAGCTCGGAGTCCGGGAAGAGGCGGCGAGGAAGCTGAGATCTCCAGATGAGGTCTATGAGGAGATGGCCAGGAGGAAAGTTGCAGGGCGCACCCTGGAGGGAGCGGGCGAGGGCGGTCTGCCGGCACGGCAAGCCGAGAGTCCGGCCAGCCTCCCCGCCTCGCCGGAACCACCCGCCGGGAACCAGAGACGCCTCCTGGACGCTGACGCGGCTTACGAGGAGCTGATGAGGAGGCAGCGAGCTATACTGACCCCCGGCACCAGCCCCACCCAGCCCTGCTCCCCCGAGGACACACCCGTCCCCGCCCCCGCCCCCGCCCCCAGCCCCGCCACCCCCATCAAGGCCAGAGCCACGCCCCCAACACACGCCATCCCCGACGTGAGGATCACCCAACACTTCACCGTGGAGGAGGAGGAGGAGGAGGTGGTGGTGGTGGAGGCGCGAGAGGAAGAGGCGAAGGAAGGGGAGGGGAGGAAGGGCAGAGTCGTGGCGGCACAGAGTCAGGCAAAACCCGCACTTACTTCAGCACCCAGTGCCTCGCCGCCAGCCGCCTCGGCCTTGGGCTCAGTCACCGGGAGGAGAGAGGGAGCTGTGAGGGAAGGGGATTCGGTGTCGGTCACAATCCCTCATGCAGGCGTTGGTGACGTGAGACCGAGCTCAGCCCCGAGCCCGGTCACACCGCACTCCACCACGACTAAACCCACGCCCACACCCTCCACACCCACCAAACCATCGCCCGCCCCAGACCACGTGGTCATATCGGTGCCCCCCGCCTCGGAGACCACCACCACCGTCACCGCGGTAAACGGGCAGGGACAGTGGCAACCAGCCGTTACCACGGCCCCCGGGCGGCATTTCCCGGTGGAGATTCCTCCCGGAAAAGCTCCCGTCAAACGTAACCTTCCCGCAACGCCAAGGGCAGCACCGGGCACCGCGCCCACCTCCTCCTCCTCCTCCTTGGCACACACCGCCATCCCAATCCCCTCCCCACCCCCGCCCCCACCCTTACCGCCCCCCAATGCCATCGCCATCCCCAAGCCGTTCGTGACACCGAAAAGGAAACCCCCAGTGCGGGGAGTGGGACCCTCGCCGGTTACACCAACAACCACCAAGCACCATCACCCGTCACCGCCTCCCGTCCCACCGAAACCGGCAAATATCCCCCCGGTTTGGTGTACACGCCTCGCCCCTCCGTCCCCCCCAAACCCTCGCTGCCCCGTCTCCCCGTGACCTCCCACAAGCCCGCCCAGAGCCAAGGGGTGGTCAAACCATCCTCAACCCCCACCTCCTCGTCACTGTCCCTCAACCTGGTCTCTCCCGGCGATCACCGGCTGTTCATGTCATCCCCAACTTCGCCCAAGTCCTCCGTCCACCCGCAGACCGCTGCCTATGTGGTCATCACCCTGCCCTCTGAGCCCAGCACCCCCACCGAGCCGGTCAGCCGGCTGGTACAGAGCACCGCGCCCACACCCGGCTCCGTGTCCGTCCCCCCACCGCTGGTCAGCTCCGCGATGCCCTTCCCCAAACCTCCCGAGCCGGGCGGTGGAGCCGGTTATGTCCTCCCTTACACTCATGCTCACGTGGCAATGGAGCTGAACTGGAGCTCTCGGCCGGACCCAGTGACGGTGAGGGACAGGAACAGACTGCCCTCGGAGCTGGCTGGTGCTCTGGAGAGGTTCTCGGGCCGGGAGGACATGCCGTTTTCCGGGGACTCGGAGGCGGTCGTTGACCTCCGCACGCTCTCGGCTCTGGACTTTGCCGAGCGCGGGGTGGACCTGTCCACCGGCCCCTCAGACACCAGGAAGCAGGAGTCGTCGGCAAACACCACCAGCAGTGCCGTGCACACCGCCATCGTCAACCTGAGCACCGGGGCCCAACCCCAGCCTCCACCACCTCCTCCCCCTCCACCGCCACCGCCCCTCGTCAACGGGCACTGCGCCGCCGTGACCTATGACGCCTCTTTCCCAGTGGACCTCGTTCGCTCGGTCACCGTGCCACTGCCTCTCCAGCTCATGGCTGAGCCGGCAATCAGGGCTTGCGTCCTAGCCCAGTCCGCCGGCGAGACCCCCATCAACCTTTCGTGCGCGATGGCCGGGGAGAAGTGGGTGACAACGGGGGCCAAACCAGTGACGACAGCGCCGAACGGCTGGGCGGAGCCGGAGATGGCGGCAGTAGACCTGAGCACGGGCAAACCTCTACGGTTGATGGTGGCTGTGGACGGGCTGACGGGTGTTGTGACCACCAGCGCCGTCGTGACCAGAGCCGCTGGGGCAGAGGAGCAAGGTGAGGAGGAGGAAGATAAGCCGGTGGACCTGACTGCCGGCCGGCGCAGCGTGTGCTGTGACGTGGTCTACCGCTTGCCGTTCGGCCGCAGCTGCTCGGCGCTGGGCGTGGCGCCCGAGGAGGAACGGTACGGCTACCGAGGAGGTTACCGAGACCTGGCCATGAAGCCGTCCATGTCCGACACCGACCTGACCCAGGCCGGACTCTTCCTGTACCATAGCCAGCAGCCGGTGACGGACACCGCTGTGGACCTGACGTCGGGCAGAGGGACGGCAGGTCAGTACGGCTCGGCCACTGACCTCTCTCTCCGGCTCAGCTTGCAACATGCTCTCTCGCAACTCATCTCAGGCTGAAGCCAATCCATCGGCCGTCTCCCCTCTTCCCCCCCCTCCCCCCTCCCCCTCTTTCATAGGAGTTCCTAGACCAAAGTCCATCTGATTGGCTTCCAAGGTCTATCTAGTTGGCCTTCCACCATCTTGGTAATGTTATGCTATAATATTAATGGAGATGTTGACTTAATCAATCATTGGCGTTCACTATCTGTCCATTAGTCTACGACAGACTCCAAGGCATGAGGGTGAGGAGAACACACCAATGGTGGAAAAGCTTTGGGAACCGAATCCTTGGTCCAAAAGTTGCCTTGTTTTTCTCCTGAGCAGATTACACTACTACACTGCCATATTCTCATGACTCCAATTGCTCATATACGCTGTTGACCCCACAAAAAAGCTTATTTTTATAGGAACAAGAGTAGGCCATTCAGCCCTCGAGCCTGTTCCCTTAGATCATGGCTGATCTGTACTTCAACTTCCAATTCTCTGAGAGAAATCTTCGTGTGACTTTTGTGTTGCTCAATTGAGGGAGAGAGAGAGAGAGAGAGAGTGAGAGACAGAGAGAGAGAGAGACGGACGGACTTAATCATCTCATCACTTCTCTATTATTTTTTCCTGCATTTTTTATTCATATATATTTCAGACCTGCACGCAAACGGATGACCGACCGACCACAGAGATCCCAGGAATCAGAAAATGATTATTATTATGATTATTACTTATTACCATGATTATTATTTGTTGCTTGCTTATTTTTTGGGGGCTGCCTCTGTCTTGATCTGCATGCGCCTGCCTGCATGCCCTCCCCCCAATAAACCACACTCAACCATCGCTTGTTGGTGACTCAGAGTCCAATGATCCCATGGAAGATTTGCATGCAACGTGACTGAATTTGCCTCGACTGAAGACCAACAGAAGGGTGAGAAAGAGGAGGGAGGGGAGATGATTGCTTTGACTACCTTTCCCTTTCCAAACCCTCTCTACCACCTCCGCTGCCTGCCAAGTTGGGCTTCCCCCCCCCCACCCCTTGTGAGGGGGGAGAGTGAACGAGCGGAGTGGCAGAGGGGAAGGGATTGGGGCTGTAACTGTGACCCTGTTTTTACAGGTCAAGTAATGGACTATACGTCAACCATCACCGAACTCCAAGACCAAGGATATCCGGAGACACGGCAGGTGATTTCAGCCGGTGGGGTGTCTGTAGCCCCCCAGTATCCCCAGGCTCGGATGGCCATGTCTGTAGGGGGTCACTACGGGCTGCCCAGCATCCTGAGGTCCTCAGGAGGGGTGGTCTACTCCTCCGTCGCTACCCCAATCCCCTCCACTTTCGCCATCACCACCCAACCAGGTTCCATCTTCTCCGCGCCTCTGGGTGTCCACGCGTCCGAGCCTGGCCTGGTCCAGCCAGTCACCGTGGGCTTCCAGCTCGAGCCGGTGGGATCGGGGGCGGGACCGCTCCCTGGCGCACCCCCGGAGTTGGAAGAACTGGTGGGGGGTGGGGTCTCGGAGACCATCTTTGGGGAGACGGAGTTGGCTCAAACCTTGGCGAGCGAGCTGGGCTCCTCCGCCCTGGACTCTCCCGGCTCCTCCGAGCTCCTGGTGATGGAGCGGGAGATCCTGGAGTTCGAGAAGAGGAAGCAGCTGCGGTTGGCGGAGGAGCTGGAGAGGGAACGCCAGGAGATCCAGATCTTCAGGGAGCACGAAAAGCTCATTGTCCAACGGGAACTCCAGGAACTGCAGTCCATGAAACAGCAGCTGCTCTATCAGCAGGAGGAGGAGCGACAAGTCCACTTCATGATGCAACAGGAGACCATTGTCCAACAGCAACTGCAGCTGGAGCAGATCCAACAGCTTCAGCAGCAACTGCAGCAACAGCTCGAGGAGCAGAAGATACGACGGATTTACCAATACACCACCAACGCACAAGGGGTTGGCGAGTTGGCCACCGAGGCCGGGCAGGATTGGTACCCGGCATCAGCCATAGTGCCGGACCCCCCCCAACCCCCTCCCCAGGCCCCTCCTCAGGCCCCGCCCCCACCCAGGTCCCGCTTACACGGCTCCGTCTCGGAGATATCCCTGCGGGAGGCGGACCTGAGGGAGGGCCGGCCCCTGAGGAAGAGGGGCTCCATGCCCGCCTGCGAAGCGGCCAGTACGCGGACGACTCCGAGCCGGGTCCTCGGGACGAGCACAGGACTTGCAGGAAGATCGTGAGCAGCGGCGTCCAGACCGACGACGACGACGAGGAGGAGGAGGAGGAAGGGGAGGGGGAGGAAGGCGAGCGCTGCTACACCGGGCGACGACGAAGGTCCAGGAAGAGCGTGGACACCAGCGTGCAGACGGACGACGAGGACAACCAGGAGAGCTGGGACATTCCCGCCAGGAGGAGGCGTTCACGAGGGGCCAAGTACCAAGACTCCGGCAGCGCCGAGCCAGACAAGAACAAGCGACCGCACGCCTACGGCAAACTCGGCCAAATCTCCGTCCAGACCGTGGCCGAGATCTCAGTGCAGACGGAGCCAGAGGGGAGCCTGGGCTCGAGGTTCCCCTCCATCCGGGCCAGGGTGGACCCCACAAGGGGGGAGTCCAAGGTGGAGATAGTCAAGCACATCTCAGCGCCAGAGAAAACCCGCAAGGGCGAGAGTTTGGCCTGTCAGACAGACACCGACTCAGACATGCAGAGCCCACAGTATCTGAACCACCAGACAGCGAGCGTCACCTCGCCCCCCAGGCCGGACAAGAAGCGACCGACGCCCCTGGAGATCGGTTACTCCAACCAGCTGCGGGCGGACTCCTCGCTCCAGGTTGTCCCCTCCCCGCCCAAGTCGCCCAAGGTTCTCTACTCCCCCATCTCGCCCATGTCCCCCGGCAAGGAGATGGAGACCAGCTTTGTGCCCTATGAGAAGGGGGTGGCCGTTGACCTGAGCGTCCCCATGGTGGCGACCCCCGAGCCGGCCAGGAGCCAACCCTCCAGCCCCAGGACCATCAAGATGATGCAGAGATCCATGTCTGACCCCAAACCACTCAGCCCCACCGCGGAGGAGAGCTCACGGCTCCACTTCCAATACTCTGACGGGTACTCGGTGAGCGAGCAAATCTCTTTTTTCTTTTTTTATTTGGTTGATTGTTTGGTTGTTTGGTTGGTTGGTTGGTTCTTTGGTTGTTTGGTTGGTTGGTTGTTGGTTGGTTGGTTGTTTGGTTGGTTGTTTGGTCGGTCGGTTGTTTGGTTGGTTGGTTGGTCGGTCGGTTGTTTGGTTGGTTGGTTGTTTGGTTGGTTGTTTGGTCGGTCGGTTGTTTGGTTGGTTGGTTGTTTGGTTGGTTGTTTGGTCGGTCGGTTGTTTGGTTGGTTGGTTGGTCGGTCGGTTGTTTGGTTGGTTGGTTGGTCGGTTGGTTTTTGGTTGGTTGTTTGGTTGGTTGTTTGGTTGGTTGGTTGGTTGGGTGCTTGGTTGGGTGGTTGGTTGGTGGTTGGTTGGTTGTTTGGTTGGTTGGTTGGTTGTTTGGTTGGGTGGTTGGTTGGTTGGTTGGTTGGTTGTTTGGTTGGTTGTTTAGTTGGTTGGTCAGCCGGGTTCCTGACACTGGGTAGTGAACCAAAGGGCTGAGAAGTTTGACATTGTTGGTTGCTGTGGATTGTCAGAAGCATTGATGTGCTTCCGAGCGGAAGGTGACAGCATAATTTCACACGTC